GGGGGGGCGGGGGGGAGGGATGGGCTGGGAGTTAATTGTGCAACAACGAAGGAACAGAAATCCAAAGTCTGTAAACTTTCATGAAAAAGCAAAGCCAACCACAAACCCGAGTATGTTTATTCTGTCAGAGCCATAGTCAAATGAAGTGAGAAACCACTGAAAATCTCAGTGGGGAGTCCCCAGACCAAATCGGTCTTTATAAACCTTTATAACAACTGTTATAAACTTTGAAAATTTATAATACTAAGAAGAAAAATCTATAAAGAAATTCTATGTCCTGCCTAAACTCACATGTGCTATGTTCATAAATGCTTGCAAGACATCAGCTTCCTTTGTCATGAAGGTGAAAGCTCGCCAAAGAGCAACTCCCGCATCCTTCATTCCATCCACCTCATCATCTGTATTGAGAATGAACACATAACCAATTCTGGGAAAAGAAGGTGAAATCATGAATGTCACAGTTACCTCAGGAACCACAATAAACCATTATTTTAAAAAATCAAACTGCTTAGATGGAGGGAATGTGCACGTAGAGGGAAGATTCTATTATCTGGAGAAAATAGATTTTTTAATTCTCATGCACCAAAATCCACACAGACACTGGACAGTAAGTAGCAAATGTGTAGCACTCTCTCTGCTGGTGACTGTCAACTAAATGATTCTGTTCTCCTGGGAAAAGGGAAGGATGCCTTAACACCGTCATGGAGAACTGGACTCCTTAAAGCAATCAGATCTTCTCCTCAGGAAGGAAGACCAAACAAGATTACCAATTAAGTTTGTTTAAGAGAATCAATCAAAAGATGGTGAATGAGGAGAATATTTTAAAAATGTTTAGCACTTGAATTTTATGAGGAAAAAATATCTATCAATAAAGGGAGATGATACACCAAACCATACAACTATGCTGTATTAGGCACTAGAAAAAATTCTTGCTTTAAATCCCACATTAACATTTTTTTTATTATTAAATTTTATTAGTTTTAATGAACATTTACAGGGATTTTGGGTTTTCATTCCTTCATTGCTGCACCATTCTCTACCCTCCTTCCCCAGTTTGTTCTTCTTCCCCCGCCATCCGAATGTCTGTTTTAATTGTACAATTGTCACAGTGCTTGTCAAAGTCAGTTCTGATTAATCTCCTTTGTCAGTGTGTCCTTT